ACAATTGAAAACACTTTTGGAAGAGGCTGCCGTTTGATATTTGAAGAATGGAAGCATCATTTCTGCTCTGATGGACTCATGGTCATTTATGTGGGTGTTTGTGACAGAAAAGGTCAACGGACAGAAAAAATAGCAGTGAGAGAAACATACACAAGGACAGTTAGGATGGCAGTGTCACACCATTCATCAGTTTTACAATAGTGTTGGCCTTTGTCAACATTTCCTAAAGGAAAAATCATAAGGCAGCAAAAACAAAGAGCCACAAATGAACAAAACTGGAACAGGTTAAGACCTCCTTGAAGACTTGAGGGACTGGATGTTTTTGCTTCAAAAGACAGTCTCTCAGTCATGTGTTCTCTGGAGAATTCTGCCTGCAACTGTTTCTTTTTCACATCTGCTGCTCCGATGTTCTTCACCTTTCCCGGAGTGGAAAATTTCCTAATTCCTTAGTGTCTTTCTGAATTTTCAACACCAATTCATAGCAGTAACCTAAGAAATTGTATCAGTCTGAAATTTTGTTTTGAGTTAAGGTTTTTCATTAGCTGAGAAAGAGCAGAAGTAGTTTTGCCATTTCCATTTTGGACTCTTGTAAGAAAATGCAAATGGATGAAAATCTATTATGCTTCGTGTTGAATGATTACCTTTACTTCTCATTTTGCTGGCAGATTATTTAGATTCTATTAAAGCCCTTTTGGTTCATATTTTTCTTAATATGATGTGAGGGATGCGTAATACATCCCTTATCACTGACTTGCATGTGTGACATGACTTATATACTAAAGCCCGGGACAATTTAGTCTTATTTCATGTCTTTTGCCATAATATTCATTGGCTAACTAAAAACCTGCCTAAGCAGATAATACCCATCAGAGAATTTTATCATATTAAAGTCTCCCTTAGTATAACATGTTTTGCACATGGGTAAAGTGTTCCTTTGCCTTTCAATTTTGTTCCATTAAAACTGTCCCCTAAATTTTTTTCTACGGTATAAATTTAGGGCTGTGTCTCAGCAAAGTTTCCTCTTGTGGCAAAACTATGAGATTTGTGAATTTTGTTTTTTGTCTTGAAACCCTTGTTTTGTGAGAGTTAGATATACAGTATATCTTGTTGGCTTCCACAGATGACTAGATTTACTGCTATAAATATAAGAAATTCTGGCAACTTTGTATAGCTTTTTTAAAGAATACATGCTTCCCCCACCCACCCCCCCCCCGCCCCCCAAGAAAGTCTTTGTTGAGTTGGTTATGGAGCTGAACTAATAGCATGTAGAAAACCTGGTTTGAAGAACCTGATTCTCTATCCTATATGGATCCGCCGTGAAAGGGTGAAGTATGGTCCTGAACAAAATGTGCTTTCCAGCTTTCCTCACTGCATTAGCAAAGCCTTCTCCCAGAATGCTTTGCCATCGAGCTTTCTACTGCCCTGACTTCAATGGCAAGAGTGTTTCTGCATTGATATTACATAAATTCACATCAATATCTAGGTTAGTGTTTAGTAGAGGCCAGTTGGCTTTTCATTCTGAATTGTTTGAAATCAGCTGTGACAACGCTGTTTGGCAATTTGGCAGTTTTTCATATTTCTTTTAAATTTTAATTATAACCCATCAAGTCTTAAGCAGTTACTTCTGGGTTAGACTCTTGATGAATGTCATAGCAGGGTGTTTTAATTTAATGGATCCAGAGTAACATCTGTTTCTAATATTTTAAAAGCCAATTTATATGGAAATTCGTTTAATACACAGTCAATACACGGAGACTTGTAAAAATAAAAATAAATATGGAAAATCAAACCCCTGTGATATAGTAGGTCTTCTGTTAACAAAGGATTTCACTGATGGCAAGGTTCAGCTGCTACTACCTAACACCCAAGATATCACAGCTTAAACAAGATAGCGATTTATTTCTCATACTCACAAAATGGTGAGGTAGTTAGCTTAAAGCTGGTATGGTCTACCATAATAGGGACTCAGTTTTCCTCAGTCTTATTGCTGTGCTCTGTGGAGCATGACTTCTATTCCTAAGGATTCCCTATGGCCCAAGATGGCTGCTGGAAGTCTAGCTATTACATCTGTGCTTCAGCAAGAGCAAGGAGTGGGGGAGGGAGGGTATAATGCTAAGCTTTTTGCTTTTAAGGACACTTTCCAGAAGTAGCGTGTAGCATTCTGCTTATGTTGCACTGGCCAAAAAATAGTCACATGATCGTATTTAACAGCAAGGGAAGATAGGAAATGAAATAATTTTTTCAGATGACTATCTACCCAGCTAAAAACTAAAAGATCTATGAGTACGGGAAAAGGGGAGAACAGACATTGGAGAACAACAATCTGTACCACACTGAATATTTTTTAAGACATGATTTGAATAGACCTTCAGCCTTTTATTGAGCATCTAGAAAAGTCCAATGAGTTCTCATGAATAAATAATGTATGTAGAAGGACTAGCATGGTGTTTGGCTCAAACAAGATAATCATGACTACTGTTGATAGGTTTTAATTCTAACCCCCACTTGCATCTAATTTCAGAGACTGTGAGTCAAGCTGACTTTAATAAGGGAGTTTTTGAACACCGTACCCCAGTCTTTATAGAATAGTAGCAACAACAGCTCACAGAGCCCAGATGTCATTGGCGCTAGGTCTCCAGAACACTCTTACTGGCAAAGCAGTATTCTTTGCTTCTCCATATAGAAGATAAATGCACAGTTGCGAGTGTTTGTTAGCTGTTTTCAAGGTGAAACTATTATTGTTACAGAAACTAAAGCTCAGAGAGGCTAATTGGGAAGCGAGTTAAAGAAGCAGTTGAAAATGAGCATTGCCCCATCATTTGACCCCAACTGGAGTACTAACTTATTTCCTCTGGCTGTGTCACCTTGGATGGGTTTCTTAATCTGTTTGGATCTGTTGCGTTTTCCTGTTTTTGAAGATGCTCAGGTAAATTACGGAGCATGTTTCCCCTCAGTCCAGGGCTTTTCCAACCTCGTTTTGGTAATATTCATGTGGAGATTCCTTTGATCATGCCTGCCTCACAGTGAAAAGCTGAACCGATGGGGGCTGGAGGTTAAAGTCATCAGGTGGCTTTCTATCACATATTCTTCAGCTGTACAAATGCCCACAGCCTTCAAAAGCCCTGACATCACACCAGGCAAGAGGCTTCTAATAATGGAGGCCTCTAATAATGTCTTGACCTCTCTCTGTCCTTCTAACTCACGTGCCTCTATTGTGTTCGGTAAGTATGGAGATGGACTAGGGGTACAGACATTCAAGATGCCACCTTGATCTCTGGAAGATATAATGGCATAGAGCAGGGATCCTTCAAACTGAACCATTTACAGGCCAACATTTGTACCTTGTCTGCATATACCAGTACTGTGGGTTCCTTAATATTTGTCTTTACGTTGAGTTTTTAATTTTTAACAGCTTCATTCTGAGCAAACATCTGTGAAATCCAGCTTCGATTTGATAATTAAATTTCCTTTCAAATACACATTAAAATAAATATATCCATTCAAATTTTTACCAGGTTTGCCTGTGTATCTTCTAAAATACTTGGAGTGGTAGGTAGATCATCACATTTTGGGAACTGCAACTGAAACTCTACCCTGCTGATTCCAGCTGTGTGACTTTGCTACTATTATCGATTGATCATTCTTAACCATAATTTGTTCACTTGAGAGATGTAGATAATATGTACCTCATCATTTACTGTAAGGATTAGACAAGATACAGCCAAGGAGACTGTTACAATGCTTGGCGGATAGCAAGTCCTCAGCGAATTACTAGGTTATCCTTCCTTAAAGTCTGTTTGCAGATACCAGGCATGCAGGCCTGTAACTGCTAGTTCTCAGAAGCAGGATGCAAGGCACTTGGTATGGATGATTGCAAGTCCTGTGAAAAGTCAGAGGGAGAAAGGCTGAAGCTTTCTAGAATGAAGGAGAAAAGGGAGACATTTGGATGAGGGAAGAGGCATTCTTCCTAGCCTCTCCGGCTCTCCCTTGGGTACTCAAAGTGTGGCCCAAGGACCAGTAGCATCAGCATCACCCAGGAGCTTGTTAAAACTGGCATCTCCGGCTCCTCCCCAGACCTACTGACTCAGGACCTGCCTGTTAGCAAGATCCCCCAGTGATTTGTGTGTGTGCATGAGAAGCAGTGCTCTGGGCACAGATATTCTGTCTAAGGTATATTTCATTTCTAGTAGGGAGTTAGTCCTTGCTCTCAGCAGATCTCTGCACCAAGATCACCTGCACGAGGATCACTAGTAACACCTGCACTGCGCTTTATAGAAGATGCAGATTCTCAGACCTCACATCAACCTGCACCCGTCATCTGCATCTTTAGCCCATACATTCCATGATTTTTTAAGGCCGCTGTTTGACAACTGCTGTAGTAAGTCTTAAACCACCTATAGAAACTGCATTTATTCTTAAAACATATTTGCATTTGAACAAACAAGAAAACTTTTGAGAAAGAGAGATACAGTCCTAATTGTAGTGTCAGTAAGCATTAAGGGGAGGATCTGAATTCAATCTATATGTAAAGGCTTCTGTAAGGCTCATTTGCATTAATCCTGCATACCTGGAATCCCATCATACACAGGAGAACAGCTTCCCAGAAGGCAGTGTCTTAGCAATGTCATATACAGTTGACACTTGAACAACATAGGTTTGAATTGCATGGGTCCACTTATACATAGATTTTTTTCAACAAATACAGCACTGTAAATGCACTTTCTCTTATGATTTTTTGTAATGTTTTCTCTAGCTTACCTTATTGTAAGACTGCACTATATAATACGTATACAGAATAGGTGTTCATCAACTGTTCATGTTATTGGTTAGACTTCTGGTTGACAGTAGACTATTAAATTTTAGGGGAGTCAGAAGTTATGCTTGGATTTTCAACTGCATGAGGGTCGGCACCCCGACCCCCATGTAGGACAAGAGTCAAATGTATTTTCTTCTTTTCCGAAATTTTATATTTGACTTTCTGTAAACATTTTGTTTTTTAGCCGTGCTATCAAGACTAATCAAGACCTTCTCCCAGAAACTCCCTGGACACACATTTTCTACAACGATTTTTGGGGGACTCTTCTAACCCACAGTGGCAGCCACAAATCCTACCGGCCACTCTGCACTCTTTCTTTTCGCCTGAACCATGCCATCGGAGGGCTGAATCCCTGGAGCTATCACCTTGTCAATGTCCTGCTGCATGCAGCAGTCACTGGTGTCTTCACGAGCTTCTCCAAGATCCTCCTTGGGGACGGATACTGGACCTTCATGGCTGGCTTGATGTTTGCCTCTCACCCCATCCACACGGAGGCCGTGGCAGGAATCGTGGGACGGGCTGATGTTGGGGCCAGTCTCTTCTTCCTCCTCTCCTTGCTGTGCTACATCAAACACTGTTCGACAAGAGGCTCCTCGGCCAGGACTTGGGGCTGGTTCCTGGGGACAGGACTGTGCGCAGGATGCAGCATGCTGTGGAAGGAACAAGGAGTGACCGTGCTGGCTGTGTCGGCAGTTTATGATGTCTTTGTCTTTCATAGGCTGAAAATAAAACAGATCTTACCTACCATTTACAAAGTAAGTGATTGTGGGCGCTGGAGCATTGGGTTACTGAGCAGCCTCCTTGCCTGGTCCTTTTCCCCCATTTAAAAAGCAAATTTGTCCCTCTTCAAAGAGAATTTAAAGTAAGCTGTGTTTTGGTCTTCAGTAAGTGGAAGTGTCCTTTTTGACCTTTCCCTACTAACATGGGTTTCATTCCTTGATTGTTTTATGTCTTGGGTTTCTTATTTTCATGATTTCAAAGGGTTCTGGTAGCTGGACAGTTTTGCCTTGTAAAGATTATGCACCTTTAGTATTTATTTTTATTCATTTTTTATTTCAACCCCAATTCTCTGTAATCCAGTAAATTGCTTATAATGTGTATTTATAAAAGTATCAGAGCTGATAATAGAGCCAGATGCTAAACTCTGTAGAGGGGAAATCCTCTGCCATTTGTTAATAGTACTTTTCCTGATCTGACTTTGGAAAACAGCCCTTCTCTGCAGTGCACTGGGAACTCAAATTCTTAAACAATGAATCATCTTCACCTTTTCCTTGTTGTACTGAATAAGAATAGAAGAGTCAAAACAGAAAGAGGTTATTATAAATTTTGCCCTGAGGCCAATTAAGGCCTTTGCCTCAGGGCTTAATATTTGCTCTTCTGTATTCCCTCAGTGCTTTCAAATGCACTGTGGTTTAAAGGTCACAGAAGCACTTTGAGATCTCTTCCACCTAAGAGGACCAGTTTTTGGCTAGTGTGTTAGGGGAAGGCATTGGACAGACAAAGCTATCTTGAGAAACTGCCTCTTTCCCATCTCCCCATTATCTCATTCATACTAAACTTACCCTTGCTTTGCCTTTTAGTTATAAAAGATGCACTTGGCCAGTGCTGGCAAATCTTGGTCCTGTTCTAGGCCAGTTCCCCCTTCCTTTTGGACACTTAAGTGAGGAGCTGTGATTTTGGATACTTACCTTGAGAAAGCAGTCAACTTTTCTCATTTTGGCAGTTCTTCCCCCTCACCCCGTCAATTCTCGATGTTACTTAAAATCAAATTGGGAAGAAATTGAAGTGAAGGAAAAATTAAGGGAAATAGAAACATTTATTTATTTTTTAATGACTTTTTTTTTCTTCACTTAGTAGGCAGAGTAGTTACTGCTGCTCTCTGTGCTCTGTGGGGAAGCATAACCTTTTCAGTTAGAACTCAAGTATCAAGTGCTTAATGAAGTTCTTTTGTGATTTCGATTATATGCTGAAACTTTAAAAGAAAACTCTGGTTAGGTTGAGTTTGACGCCTAAAAACAATAGTTTGAAAGTCAAATTCTTAATTTCAAATCAATTTTAATTATTCTTTCTGGGAGATTTAGGGAGAGAATTCTTTTTTTCTTTTGTTTTAAAACCACATTAACAACAAAACAAGCTTTCTTGTTTTATTGGAAAGACAGATAGAATACATATAAATCATGGTCTTTGTCCTGTGGAGACTATTTGAGGACTTTGCATCGATAGCCTGTGAAACATTGTGGTTGGACATTTTACAGAATTTCCATTTTACCGTCTCCTGGAATATGAAATGATTTTGATATACCAGTTCAGGACTTGATTTTAGGACCTTTTAAAGTTCTAAGACATTTTCAGTTTTCTAAGCATATTTTCAAGGACAGAGTTGTTGATAGAGACCCTTATTATAATTGTGTCCCCTACAATTATTTGGGGCATACCTATAATAAGAAATTATTCTTTATCTTAAGTTTATTTAAAAAAAATAATGTTTATTTTTGAAAGAGACAGAGCATGAGTGGGGGAGGAGCAGAGAGTGAGAGGGATGCAGAATCCGAAGCAGGCTCCAGGCTCTGAACTGTCAGCACAGAGCCTGACACAGGGCTTGAACCCAGAAACTGTGAGATCATGACCTGAGCCGAAGTCAGATGCTTAATCGACTGAGCCACCCCCAGGGACCCCGGAAGTTAAATTAAAAAAAAAAAAAAATTAAGTTTATTTATTTATTTTGAGCGAGAGAGGTAGCAAACTGGGGAAGGGCAGAGAGAGAGGGAAAGAGAGAATCCCAAGCAGGCTCTGCACTGTCAGCAAGAGCTGGATGCGGGGCTTGAACTACAAACCTTGGTACGTACCACTGGGAGATCATGACCTGAGCCGAAGTGAAGAGTCGGACTCTTAACTGACTGAGCCAACCAGGCACCCCTATCTGAAGTTAAACTGCCCTGAGCATCCTGCTTAAGAAAATAAGAAATGTCCCTAGCAAAGGAACTCCTAGCAGCCGAGAGTGTGAAACACCCCTCTCCCCACCCCCCATGTCATGGGAAAGGACTTAATACTTTGAAGATTCGGTGTCCTGAGAAGTTTCCAAATGGAAAGTTGCCTAGACTGTCTGGCAGCCATTGCTTGTGGGCAAGGGAAGTAGTTGAAGCAGCAAAACAATCTGAGAGTCGCTATCTCCACTCTGCTTTTTCTTTCATTCTCACATTTTGGGCCAATGGGCTTAATGAGAACATTTTAGTAACAGATTGTATAGATTTGCAAGGGACCATAGAGACCTTCTATGCCAGTCCCTTTATTTCCAGCAAAGGTATAGAACACCAGAGGTGTGAAGGTCACCTAGAAAGTGGTAGAATCACTGGAACTAGGATACATATTTGCGTGTATTTAGCGATCATTTTACTATATTGTGAAGATGTGAAGATGAATGAACAAATGTAAATAAAGTCAGATGACTTACCTGGAAGAGAAGAAAATAAAATGGAATCAAATATTCACTCACACTGGCTAAGTAAACTTAGGCTAGTTCAATGACCTGTTTTTTTATCTGGAAATGGAGACGGTTCATGTTCTGTCTTAGAGATGTTGTGAAGAGTGTAATTGTGGGGTGTTCAGTGTGAGCTGAGTGCCCAATGTTTGGAAGGCACCTGATGATACTAGTTGAAGAGAAAGAAGAAATATCAGTGGAAATTGTAATTCTTTATTTTAAGGAAGAGAAGGCCAAAAGATGAACTTCTACTAGTCTTTAAACATACAGTGGTTTTGAAAGCATATGACTTAGGAATCAACTAAGGCTGAAGCATGAATATTTAGGCAGAAACTTTCATTTAGAATTTTATGACTATGGGGCTTGTAAACACTGGCATAGATTACATATGGAAGTTATAGAAAATTCCATATTCTGTCTTTATAATATATAGATTTCTATGCCTGGGGTGAGTTAGAAGAGACTCTGAAGGAAGTGAATTAAAAGACTTTAGAAGGTCCTTTTCAACCTTAAAAGAATAAATCATCTTAAATATCTTGCCAATTAACTCCACATCATGGTTTGCCAGATGAAATAAACTTCCCTGCCCTATTAAAACATAACTTTTATATAAACAGAAAGCTCCAGTGCACAAATGTTTAACTCTGTTATGCAAACCAGTGAACCAGCCAAGTACTCAAAACCCAAAATGGCGGACCTCTTAAAGCTGGAAATTATTAGGACCAGAGGGGCAAGGCTCTCTGTTTTGATAGTTTCATCAGTAATGTTTTTCTCATAACAGTCACACTCAACTTCTTTCTTCACAGTGTTGGTTTCAGTTCTGCACCTTTTAAAAGATTTTGGGTCTTTTAAATGTGCACCAGGGCCAGGCAGAAGGGACTGGTGGAAGCAAGATTCTGCCCACCTCTAGGACCCCTCTTCATCCAGTATTATAATAAGAAAATACAGGTTTGGGTTGGGTAGAGTTTGAGATTTTTCCCTTTGCTTTTCAAGCAAGAGAGAGAGAGAGAGAGAGAGAGAGAGGGAGAGAGGGAGGGAGAAAATGAGAGTGCATGCAGGTGAGCTGGGGAGGGGCAGAGGGAATGGGAGAGAATCTTAAGCAGTCTCCTCACCCAGTGTGGAGTTTGACACGGGGCTGGATCTCATGGCTGTGAGATCATGACCTGAGTGGAAACCAAGAGTGGGACACTTAACTGACTGAACTACTCAGGTGCCCCAAGTTTGAGATTTTTCTAAGAAGACAGACTTCTGGATTTTTCTATGACATTTCTTATTATTTAAAATCAATTACTAGTTTAAAAACAGATAAACCCTGTTTGGGCCCAACAAAATCCTTTGGATGACTGAATTTGGCCAGAATTCTTGGCTGCCAGTTTTTGGCTTCTAAGGCTCATGCAGATGATGCACATATCTATATTGTATAAAAGACGTTTGCAGTTCTGCAAAGGAAATATGAAAGTTTTCTTTTTTTGAAGTATGTGAAAAATAGTAACGACCTGGCATATTGTAGATACTTTATTTAGCATTTAATAAATACATAATCTATGTGTGCTAGGCACTATCCTGAGTGTGCTAAAACATAAACACATTTAACTTATATAATAAGTGCTTATTGAGAGAATATGACTTATGAACTAATGTGGTTGAATATGACATGAAATAATATAATCATACGGTTGTCAATAGTTAAGATTTGTTTTTTGTTTTTGTTTTTAATGTTTACTTATTTTTTGAGAGACAGAGACAGAGGGGGAGCGGGGGAGGGGCAGAGAGGGAGACACAGAATCCGAAGCAGGCTCCAGGCTCTGAGCTGTCAGCACAGAGTCCGACCTGGGGCTGGAACTCATGAACTGTGAGACCACGCTCTGAGCCGAAGTTGGACGCCGACTGAGCCACCCAGGCGCCCCTTGTGTTTGTTTGTAATAGTTAGCAAGATTTGTAAGAAGACACCAAATATAAAATCTTCAGAAGTGTGTTTGAACAAAATGTGTGTTCATAAACATCTTAAGTTTTTTTAAATGATCCTCTTCTTAGCTTCAGCATTCTATTTATGGTGTTTCCCACATTGTCCTTGGCATCTGGTGCACCATCTGACACATAGTAGGTACTCAGTAAATTATTGAATTCACACTTGTTTCAGTTTGCCTTTAAAAAATGTGTGCCTGAAATGTTAAAGTGAAATCCAATCCTCTTCCCTTTATACAAATGAGGATTTCATTCCTGGTTAGTGGGGTCCAGAAGGTACAATTGGAAGAAATGCATGTCAGAAAAATGTTG